CTCTCCCTAATGAGAGTACAGTCCTCTGGTCCTCTTGGACAACGATGACTTTATTTTACTATAATCCTGCCAGCCTATGACAGTCACAAAAACTTAATACTGTAGCAAGCTTTTTTTTTTTGCTGCATCTTAACCTGTATGTCAACCACGGGCTCTAGATTTGGCAGTACCACCCTTCCTCCATGTTGGGACATGTCAACACTTTGCCCATAGAATCCCACTTTCAAATGCTCCTCATTGATTTGTCACCAATTTTCCTTCAAGTAGCTGTATTTGGTCCACTTTCACAGATCACCCCTTAACTCAATTATTTTTTACCTCAAATTAAAACTTTTATCCACGTTCTACCTTTGCCCTTTCCCATGATGTTAAATCTGTGTTACAGCCACAATCTTCCAAATGATCACCCATCGCTACTTTGTCCACTCATTCAGCTTCATTTCCCAAGATGAAATCAAGTAGAGCACAGCCCCACCCACCCACCACTGCTCCAACTTCATCATTGGGTTATTTAAGTTTTGGCTAAAAAGGTTCTTCTGAACATAGTTCAAAGAATTTTATGCCCTTTGTGCCTTTCCTGGTGTTCTTATCTCAGTTGATATTTGGACAGTTGAGTGCCCAACTATTATTGCTCCTTTTTTTTGCATTCAGAAATTTGTATACATATTTGCTCTACCTCCTTACATTGTACACAGAGCCGCTTGTGTTAACTTCCCCCTTCTTTGATGGTTTCCCGACAACTAGATTGGATTCCTGAAATCAATAATGCCCCAACACCCCTTACCCCAAATCTTTTTTTTAATCCACTCTCTGTCCTGTCTGAAAACTTCGTCTCTTGGGATGTTGAGCTCCCTTTCAAGTCTTCTTTCAGCCAACTTTTCGCTTTAGCCCAGGTAGTTCTGGAGTTAAAAAGACTCCTGATTCTTGCCAGACCTGAATTTCTCCAGAAGTTCCTGTTTTTGTTCCAGCATTTGCATTTCTATGGTTTTCCTGACAGCCCTAGTTGGGCAGGGGACAGCAGTGTTGGTTTTGCCCAAAATGTGTAGGAGAGAACTTTCTTAAATCTGTTCGCTTCCTGCTCAACTGTATGGATCAGCTGTGCGGGATCTGCTCCTGGGCAATAAGACTTAGATTTTATTGTCATGGGTACTCAAGTGCAGGAATACAGGAGTACAGAGAAAAGTGTTCAAAATCACCATTCTCCAACTCCATCTTAGTATTAAAAACAGAAGCAGACATAAAAGATACAGGCGAAAGAAAAGGAAATGTGCAGATCACTTCCCCGCCATGAGTACTCGTCCCCAGAAAAAGAAAACCACAAAGTCTATCCCTCAGTCTGTGAACGCTCAGGTGCTGCATGTCCCTGCACGCTGCCGCAGCTGGCACATCACTACCTCCGCCATCAGGTACCTGAGCCCACTCATGGCCTGGAGCTACGTCGCTGCCAGTCTCGCCATTCTTCGACGCCACCCTTGCCTCCACCAGTGTCTTCACCATGAGTCTGCGCTGGGCAAATCCCGGCGATGCAGCAACCGCGGAAGCAGCCAGGTCCCGAACTAGGCTCAAACTAGCGCTGGGCCCACCGGGCTGAAGCAGCCGGTGCCTCTTCTGGCTTACGTTGTGGCCGCTGCTGCCTCTTGAGACCACCATTTCAGCAATGACGTGGGGCGAGTGAAGTATGGCTCAGTGCCAATGCATCTGGTGTTGCACTCTCTCAGGCAGATAATGGAGCTCTACCTTTAGCAGAGTGAAGGGATTGTTCATTTGCTTGCCTCTCGAGAAAAAGGAACAGCTAAGAACAGGTAGATATCACTCTCAGGCAAATCACACCTTAATATAAAAGCCAAAAGAACTGTGGATGCTGTAAATTAGGAACAAAAACAAAGTTGCTGGAAAAGCTCAGCAGGTCTGGCAGCATCTGTGATTGAGAAAACAGAGTTAACGCTTCAGGTCTGGTGGCCCTTCCTCAGAACCAGTTCTGTTTTTGTTTCAACACCTTAATATCTTTAGTCTTCTTAACCCAGCGAGCTCTAGCTTTAATACCCTGGCTTTCCCTCTTGCCCTTCTTTCCCTCCCTATTAATGTGCCGGATAAGGTGAAAAAAGTTTGTAGACAGGCCCAAGTGATACATCAAAATTCTAACTTTGTCGTAAACTGACAAAACAAAGCAAGAGAAAGAAACAAATGTTTAATACTAATCATGCTGAATACAAACAAAAGGGCAAAGTGGGTGAAGAGTTCTCAAAATGTGCCCAAGGAAACTTTTCTTAATCGGTATCCTTCCTGGCCACCAAAACATGGAATTGGGCTGGACCTGCCTCTGGGCAGTAAACTGGGTCAAGTGCTGCACGTTTCAATGGGAATGCAGTCGGGAAGCAATGACTAACTTCGGAGCAGATAAGGAAAAAGACAAGAATCCGTCAAATGTAAAAGTCCCTGAATAAAGGAGGCTCAATTCCAGAGGGTTGAAAGTGAATTTGGTCCTGTTGGGATACAGTCAATAATTGGCATGTAACCCAGAGACTGAGCATTGCGAGGCCTTCGAAGAGGTGATTGTACGGACAGACCAGATGTTATCCAGGAGGGAGAAAGGCAGGGCATCTAAAGCTACAGCTCACTGGGTTATGAAAGGTAAAGATATTAAAAACAGGCAGCAAAAAATACCTTATGATATATGCCAGATTCATAATTCAGTAAAGAGCCAAAGTTTAAACAGAAGATGGAGGGAATCAAATGGGCCAAGAGACTGCACGAGAATGGATTAGCATGCAACTTAAAGAAAACAATAGAAACTTTTTTTAAACACATGGATAATGTAAAGAACATAGTTAAAAAGGAGGGCCTGGGAGTGGGGGCGGTGGAACAATATGACTGAGGTACACTCCAAGTTGTTTGTTATCTATTTACTCAGGGCAAAATGCTTCCGATGGGAGAATTGCAGTCTGGCCATGCCATCGCAGCGTGCTGTACAAACTGCTGCTTATGAAGAAGGTTACTGCCACCATCGTTTAGCTGGTGGAAACTACAGTGTGCGCTCAGCTTAACGTGGCAGAGGAAAACCACAAGAGCTTCCTGCAGTTAACAAGATATAGTGACATCGTCGTGAGACACATTATCACAAAGACTTTGAAAACGACTAGACTCTAAGCCCCAATCCTTTGAGATCCTAAGCTGTTTTGCCCCCAGTCTATTTCTGAAGAAGGGTCCCGACCCAAAACGTCAACTTTCCTGCTCCTCTGATGCTGCCTGGCCTGCTATGCTCCTCCAGCTCCACACCGTGTTATCTCCAGCATCGGCAGTTCTTGCTATCTCTATATGACATCATGATAGCAGGTGGTGCTTATGACACTCCTCGGTATTAACCCATTCACACCTATATATAACCCCCATAAAGGAGACAGCAAAAGAGAGACTGAATAGAATAAAAATTAGGCATTTAAAATAGCTCGAAGTAGAATGTCATCCAGTGTGGATGTGATGTAACCTAGGTTACAGAGTAAAGGCGTGTTGGACGTAACAGGGGCTGTGTCCACAATAGTCCAGTTCTCTTCACATGAGGGGCTTACCAAAACTCTGGAGGGTTATAAATGGCAAACAAAATATTCAAAAATAAGAAAAAGGGGGATAAACCAGGTACCCATAGTTCTACAGTCACTGGTGGGAAACCGTCACATACAACAATCTGGACAAATTATACTGTCACTTGGAAAGACTTGGGCTACCCAATGACAGCTCATGTAAATTTGACGATGACACATTGTACCCGATAAACTTGATCAAGTTTGTTGTTTATATAATAGAGAGGATTGATGAAGGCAGTAGGAAGATGGTGATTGATGTTACAGTGTACAATCTCAAAAGGTGGTTGATCAAGTACCTCATAATATACTGGTTAGCAAAATTGAAGCCGATGGTATCAAACTGGCACCATGGGTGCAAAGTTGATTAAGGAACAGAAAGTAAAGAGTAGTGACCAACTGTTGCTTTCAGACTGGAGATAAGTATACAGTGGTTCCACTTGAGATAGTTATGGTGATCAAAGCTATGTTTGATATGAATTAATGACATGGGCTTGGTTATACGGGCATCATTTCAGTGCAAAAACAGTGAGCGAGATGGTAGCAGACTTCAGGAAGACCAACAGGCAGGCAAAATGAGTAGATTTTCCAACAGAGGTGCAAAGTGATACATTTTGGAGGAAAGCATGAAGAGGCAATAGAAATCAAATGGTACACTTTGTAAGAGGTGCAGAAGCAACAAAATCTGGGGCCGAAATCTTTGCAAGTGGCAGGACAAGTTGATAAGGCAACTGAAGTGAAAAATGGGTCCTTGGTTATTGATAGCAATAGTTTCCTAAAAGTAGGGGGAAAGAGTTAAAGTTTCAGCATTTTTCTCTCTATGTTGTGTCATTTTAACTACAAGATGCACATTTTGTTTTTTCTCCTTGCAGGATCCTCATTGGTCAGCCACCCTATTTCATAGGCTTGTCTGCCTGTCTGATGTGGAGCACTCCAGAGCAGGCTGTGACTATAGGAATGGCTAAGGACTTTGTTGCTCCGTTAACGAGAGCACAGGAGCTGGATCTGCCCTCCAACCCCAGAGTGTATGGGTCCCGAGGGGAAGGTGGTGAGCTGGAGACCCAGGCAGAAGCGCCACAATTCCTCCTGGCCCAAAGGCAGAGCTTACCTGCACGAAAAATGAGTCTGAAGCTGATGCAGCAAAAACAAAACACTTTAATTTCTGTTGCACACATTGTTCGATGAGTTGAGTAGCATGACTAGATTGGAGAAGCGGGAGGAGGCAGAAGGACGTAAAACATATTTTAAGAAAAAAAGCAAAATACTGCAGGGGACGGTAACCCGAAAGACTGCTGCAGACAGCGGGTCAGGTTACCCGAGAACATAACTTGGTCGACAGTTCAGGAATGCAATCTTTCCTCAGAATTATTGATATCCGTACTACAGTAACACAGAGCAGATTGGGGGAAACAGGCCACTTACAAGACTTCCTGTTCGCACGCGATCTTTTCCTCTCTCTAGGCACAGTTCGCTGATTTGGCACTTGAGTGGCTGACTTGACAATCCGATCCATTATTTCGTCTGCAGCATCGTCTGTGGCATTTGGGGAGTCATCGTTGCCTGCAGTGCATGACCCGACACGGCCTGGATGGAGCAAAAGCCGTGGGACACGATTAGAGATTTGCAATTTGGTGGCTGAAGTAGTGATGTAGAGCTTCAGGCTTTAACATTGACAGGTGGTGGCCGGGATGAAAAATGACAAGGACAAGAAAAGAGGAGCCCAACACGAGTAGAGAATGTTTGAATACCTTTGGACAGTCTCCTGGCTGACACAATGGGGAGGGGAGTTGTTGAGCAGGGGAAGGGTGGCCAAATTTCTAGGCTGCAGTTGGAGTTACAGTGCAGATTTTGACTGGGCTGAGAATGCAGGGGAGAGCATCTGCAAACTTCCTTATGAGGCTTCTGGATCCAAAATAATTCCGAAAGCAGTTGCTCTTATGAATTTCACATCTTTTGACTCGGGCCTGATGCTATCACCAGGGCACACGATGTCTGAATGTTAATTGGGCTGCCCCCTACTTTTTGGAAATAAATCTCTACGGGTGGCTTAGTTTTAGGCAAAAATTGAGCAAGTGAGAAGAGGTTCTGCTTATCTAGCCCTGATATTTTAAATCTCTGCTTCACTCCCTTGACCTTAACCGACCTGTCGAAGAAACCCAGACAACGAAAAAGTAGCATTCTATTATTGCTGAGTTCTTTCCATGAAAAATCTTTTACTAAGTTGGATAGGAGCAAATTAAAATTGAGAAGGGTAGACCATTCCACTGTTTCTTGGGCTGATGTCCAAGAATCCTCAGAAACTGACAGGCAGACTGCCAGTTTAGTGCCATTAAAAACATTTTTTGTTTTCTACATTTATTTTTATAAAATAGGTGCTTCACATCTACATATTTCTGATGATCTGGACACAATGTTATGGCATCCATGGCATTAGGGAATGTCAGTCAGCAAGATAAACTAAGGATACTCTCTCATACCTTCCTCAGCGCTGTGTTGTCTTTTTATCGAATAATTTGTGAGAAAGAAGGCTAAAAAAATTATTACTTTTTCATTTGGATCGGATTGAGGTTTGATTCATAGTAATCCAAGCCCTTGGATTGAATTTCTTCACCCAATGAAGATGCTGGGGTTGCCCACTGTCAAGCTGATCCTCTCCCTGTGCTGATTGAGGACACAGACTTCAAAAATTCAAGGAAAGTGCTCAAAGAGTGGAAGGAGGCCCATGTCACCCGAGACAGTTTCAATATTGCTGGAGATATTCCTGCCTGCATAACACATTGCATACTTCCAAATCAGACCATCCCTTTGGCAGCTCATGGGGTGGCACCGTGGCTCAGTGGTTAGCACTGCTGCCTCACAGCGTCAGGAACCCAGGTTCGATTCCACTCTCGGGTGACTGTCTGTGTGGAGTTTGCACATTCTCCCCGTGTCTGTGTGGGTTTCCTCCCACAGCTCAAAGATGTACAGGTTAGGTGGATTGGCCATGCTAAACTGCCCGTAGTGTCCAGGGATGTACAGGCTAGGGGGAATTAGCCATGGAAAATGCAAGGTTAGAGGGATAGGTTGGGGGGGTGGATTGCTCCTCAGAGGATTGATATGGAATTGATGGGCCAAATGGCCTGCTTCCACACTGTAGGGATTCTATGATTTTTATGTGGAGTTTAAATACTGGCATAGCCGCCTGTTTCTGTACTGTGCTGTAAAATATTTTAGTACTATGCAACTGAGGCATGAGATGAGTTACCAGTGTAAATGGGGCCTTTTACCTCTGCTGGCTCTTGTTCGGGTCCGCACCCCTGGCACAGCGGTGGTGACTTCGCCACATGGTACTGAGGTTTTCAGAACAGCTTTCATGTTTTCATGTTCTGCTGCCTCTTCGGCAGACTGCAATCCGTGCGGCTGGCTCTCACCCGAGACAGTTTCAGTGTTGCTGGAGAACTTTCCTGTCTGCATAACAAATCACATACACAAATCACATCATTCCTTTGGCAGCCCATGGGGCTATATTCTTTCACATCTAATGCATACACATACTGCAAGTCTACGAAAAGGCATACGTACGCTTGTGCAACAAAAAAAGCATTATCCAAGATCCCACGTGAAGCAACTTTGAAATTATTTTTTTTTTGGGTGAAGACGACTATTTTGGAGCTCAAGTGGCTGCACTGATTGTTCTTGGACAAAATCAGATTTTCTTCCGCTTTCCCAACCCAATCTTTTAGCAGGTTGGGAATGCTTAGAGTGTAAAATACAGGCCTGACCCTGCTGAAGTCAGGTGCCCCATTTTAAATGAGGGGTGGCAGGCAAAAGTCAGATTTTCTCTTGCACAAAACATTCGCCTGGTGGCATGGGGGCTTTTGGAGGTCCACTAAATGCCCACATGGTTCAAGAGTTTGTGAAGAAAATGGGAGACCTGTAGTAGAATTGGGCACATTCTGAAAAGTATAACATATTTTGACACTATTAAGTGTCACAATTAGGTTCTGTCCTCTTAAGATAATCCTTACTTTGATCAACATAGTCCAAGTGCTCACTGTCATTAAGAACTTTTCCAATGAAGAAAATACCATAATGTATTGAAAAGTACAAAAATATGACTTCTGTTGTAACGTTATTGTGCTCTGACTTAATTGGACTGGCAAATCTGGCTTTTTAAAAATAAAATGCTTCTGAAGCTAGGAAATATTAGCTGCACCTTCTTCCATGCTAACGACTGACAGATATTCTGCTTGGAACTAGAACTCGATATCTGTTCTGTCAGTGGAGCTGGAAGTTTTTGTTACAATAAATATTCTATTGCGAATACTTAGCTGGATTTCAAAATCTTTGGCTCAGCAGGAGGTCTTATTGATCTATTGAAACCTTTGAGCCTCTAATAACAAATTATATCTTTGATGTAATTTCTTGTTTGTTTACAAACCTAATAAGTTCTTAAAAGACTCCAGTATTATTTCGCCCCCTTGAGTTTTCTATTCAAAAACAATGTGTGTCTGAATTCAGGATTTTTTTAAGAAAACAATTCTTAGAAGTTTAATGATTTTCCGATGATTTTAAAATAATCCCCATTACTGCTGCAAGTTTCCCAAGAGCTGGACAGTGCAGGCTAAGTTTGCAATTATGGAGTATAGATACATAGGGGAAATGTTGTAGCTTGTTTGTGGCAGAGGGGATGGTGTCATTGAGAGGAATCAGGTAACCTGAGGGGCAGGACAGTTTATCAGAGAATTAGAAGTGGCTCAGGTCATGGGAGTTGAAGGGGAAAGATTAGGGTTGATGATGCATTGGAGAACTAAGATGGTCTTCTAAGTGTTGCATCTCTGCACCCACACTCCTCACACTGAATTTTTTGACCAATGTGAAGGGACCAACAATCCACACTAAAGTCACACAAGGGTCAAGTGTGAGTTTTGAGATCCATAAAAGTGCACAAGTTTGGGTTTCCTGAGCCCAGATGAAAACGAGACCCAAAGTGTCAACCACAAACACGAAAATGTGTCCCTGCCTTTCAAATATCCTATAACGCCATCTTGTTTTCTGGTATGATCACGGAGTTATTATTTTTAAATGATAAGCAACATTTACAGTCGGACAGCTATCAGAGGAGTGCTGTTTTTAAATTGGCAAGTCAGCAGTTCTTCATACAAAAATATTACCCATTCAATGATGTCCAAAGAATTGTAAATTTCAATGTGAAAAGGGAGGTTTGCAAGCTCTTCAGAACTGGGACATGAAAGTTTGGAGCAAATTTTTGGTCCAGTCTCAAGCTGAAGTAGCTGCTGACTAGGCCAAAATACATACAATACAATATTAACGTCCATCATCAAAGGCTAATGGAGTCCTGAGGGAGTAAGAAATGAGATACCACAGAACACTGGACTCCAACTTGCCTTTTACACCAGTGGGATTCTTGCATCTGATTGTCAACTTCAGGAACGTACATGTTTTTTAAAACCAGTCATGAAATGTAGGTGCTGCTATCAAGACAGTTGTCCCTCACTAACTGCCTTAAAAAAGCTGATGAGCTGCTTTCTTTAACTGTTACTGCCTTGTAGTCACATCCCAGGGAGGGGCATTTGGGACTTTACCACAGCAGCAGTGAAAGAAATAATGATATGCTCACAAGTCAGTGCGTGAGAAACTTGCGGGGGAATTTGTGGATGGGAGTGTTCCCAGTACATCTATTGCTCTTGTGATTCCAGATGGTAGAAACTGTGGTTTGAAAAGTGCTGTCAAGATTTCTCTCATAGATGGGTCACGCTGCAGCCAATGTGTGCCAGGAAGTAAACTCTTCAGGTGGTGGGTTGGCAGGCTGCTTTAGAATGGATGGTGTCAAGCTTCGAGAGTAGTTGGAGCTGCACCAAGAGCGTGGTGCCGGGTGGGAGAGTCTTCCTACACCCTCCTGAGTTGTGCTTTGTAAATAGTGGAAACGGTTGTGAGGTGGCAAGGTGAGTTACTCAAAGAGTGCCCAGTCTCTGACCTGCACTCATAGCCACAGTATGTGTGTGGTTGGTTGAGTTATCTACCTCATTAACTGGGACCTGCATGATGTTAATGGTGGAGGATTCGGTGATTTGCAGGCAGGAGTAAATCCAGTCCTAAAAAGGAGATGGGAGTTGCAACTGCACCAGCTCTTCAAATAAGCATCATTACTGAGTGTGAAACACCTTTTTTTAAAAAAATCTGGAGCGATTTTGTGGCAAAGTTCCATTAATATGACTTTTAACCAAGCCATGATTTAAGCTACGAGCATTCCTGCTTGTACAGGCAGGATCTCCATAAAATATTTAAAATGGGACTAAAAGTTTAGTTTAAAAGATTGAGTTTAAGACCTAGGTGCAAATTTGGTACGTCACATGCTCAGTGGAACTCCGTGTTGAGCATCAAAGCCAGCAGTCCTTGAAAAGTGGCTGCTGCTGGCCAATCCTGAGAAAGGAAATCCTGGCTTTCCCAAGGATTTTAGTGGAACTAGAAGGAAGCAGGGAAGCCTCGAGGTTTAATGGTATGGCTGAACTGCTGAAGGCCAGACTGCAGTAATGGACAACCAGCTGACCATTAGACCAACATACAGCCTTGGGAATATCGGAAGATTAATAATTCTGACACTTGAGTTTCATCTTTAGCATGCTCACGTGTGTGTGTGTGTGTGTG